TTTCCCCTCAATATTACAAAAAAAAAAACACTGTTAACAACCGAAGTTGCCCCAAAAGTTGATACTTTGTCTTGAGAGACAAAGGATTTTCATCACTAGAGATGCTCCGCTGCCCTCCTGCCCTAATCCACTGCCTCCCTTTCTCCCACTGCCGACCTGCTCAGTTCCTGCCCACAAGGCCCTTACCCACTGACCACTTTACTCATTCAGGTGTCTACTGAGTCCCTGCTCTGCACCAGGCATGGTTCCAGGAGTGAGGATATGTCAATCGATAAATCAGAGCAAAACTTTGCCCCTAAATGGCTTACATTGTGGAAAGTAAATTCTGTCGTATTTTAAAGATAGTTATGGGAAAAGGAGGATATTGTTCAGAGTAAGGTAGGCCAGAAAGAGAACTGGGAATAAATTTTAAATAGGGTGGTCAAGACAGACCTCACTGACAAGGTGACATCTGAGAAGCTTCCTCAAGAGGACATGACAGAGAGTTCTAGGAAACGCCCTTGCTCTGGGGAGCTAATCAAGCGAGCATTAGCCTAATCCTATCCTTGACATGTATTTTTAAGTCATTTACCCCCCCAGTTAGCCTTTATAACTGTGCCCAAAATAAAGGAAAACAAAGACCATGGAAAGCCCCAGGTGTGGGCCCAGTGCCCTCGGCCCTCCTCAGACACCTGGGGCCAGGCTTTCCCCGCTTCAGAGCAGAACTCCTGCCACCCAGTTCACCTGCTACTGCCACTTCTCACTGGTGACCACCTAGCCTCCTATGGAAATTCCAGAGACAGCAGATTCCCTGCAGGATTCTTTTTCATTCAAATTGCATATTGCTCAGTTTCTAAAAACTCTAAAGAGTGGGTGGGCTGAAAAGGTTTATTTCAGGAAATTGGCAGCCAGGGACTGCCACATTTGTTGGAATTCCAGGGCACAAAAAACATTTGGCAAGAGACAAAAAACACTCTTAAACATAACTCGGTTCTAATTTCCAGACTTCCAGGCGTGAAAATATACAGGACTTCAAAAAAAATACTCAGTATCCTTCTGATTTTTCCCTAGTTCAAAGACAATGTCCACTTTCCAACCCTGTCTCTCTCAGACACGACGGCTTCTTTTGCCTAATAGCATTGAAGCACAAGGCAACCTGGCTTAAGAGTTTCCAGCTCTTGGTTCCTGGCAAAGATCAGAAAGATAATGAGATCAGTCCCTTCACTAAAATGATTCTACCTCTTCGGAAGCAGAACCTAGAGCACTGGCACTGGTGAATTTTGCACTAAATAGTATACTACACACTGCTGGGCTCACTTCTGTAAGAACAGAGCCCTTCAAACAAACACTAGGTAGACTTCAAAAGTGTCAACAGCCAAAACTCTAGAAAGAGACTGCAGTGACAGTATCTAGAAAACAATGCACAGAACACAAAGCTCTGGGGAGGTGCACATGCTCAGGGCCTCATTACTCCTGGGGTGTAACTAAAGTGTAGTCAGTTTTAAAACCTTTTTTTTCTTTGAGTTTCCAAGGAGTTATTGCATGAAGGCCACTGGGAATTACTTCAGCAGGGCTACTAGGAGACAGCTTGGTACTTTCTTTCACTCTTCCTGTAAGGATTGTTTGCAGGACCTCACTTCAGCCAGCTGGCAGAACAGAAGCATAGAACCTCAGCATTTTATGAACCAAAAAGGCCTTTGAGGGTCCTCTTAGCCACCCTTGAGAATCTGCTACATTTGTGAACTAGGTCCCTAGATCATACCAGCTGGCACAGAGTGACAGGGGAGAGGGAGATAAAATCAGGGCCCTCACTGGCTGCACAACCGAGTTAATAGAAAAGAAAGGTCACTCCAGTAATGAGCTTCCAAGAAGCCTCCCTAGGGGAGGCATGGTGCTGTCAGCTGCCTGGGCTTCAGGAGGGGAACACAACCAGGGTTTCTTGGGAGAGTCCTGGTGATGCCCACAGTCCAGGCACAGTTCTTAACAGCATCCGATTACACTCTTCAAAGTGTCACCGTTTGTAGGCCAAATCACATGGTCTTTCTAAAGAAGGATGACAGAGTTTCTTTTTTTTTTTTTTGAGACATTGGCTTACTCTGTCACCAGGCTGGAGTGCAATGGTATGATCTTTGCTCACTGCGACCTTCGCCTCTTGGGTTCCAGCAATTCTCCTCCCTCACCCCCTCCCCTCCACTGCCCGCCAGTAGCTGGAGCTACAGGTGTGTCACCACCACGCCCTGCTAAGCTAATTTTTGTATTTTTAGCAGAGACGAGGTTTTACCATGTTGGCCAGGATGGTCTTGATCTCTTGACCTTGTGATCTGCCTGCCTTGGCCTCCCAAAGTGCTGGGATTACAGGCATGAGCCACCTCACCAGGCCGGGTGACCGAGTTTCTAAGGGGCATACACTCTACAAGCCCACCACTGACCTCGAAAGGTACAGCATGCAAATTCCTAACATGTTCCTGTTAGGAATGAACAGCATGCAAAATCCTAACATGTTCCTTCCTCCACAGGGCAGAGGAAGCAGCGCATCTCGGCTGGGTATACACTGGAACCAGACCGCCCCAGTTAGGATCTTATGCCCTCACATTTAACAGCAGTGAGACTTGGGACACACTCTCTAACACCTCCCATTTGGAAAAAAAAAAAAAAAAAAAAGAAAAGATCAGAGTAATTGCTAGGAGGATTAATGAGAAAACATTTGCAACATGTATAGAAAAGTGCCTGGCAGTTACCCTGGAGCACTCTAAGAATGTTTGCTAAGCAAAAATAAATATGCAGCTCTATGTCTAACAGGTAAGTAAATTTTTATAAAGGGACAGTGAGGCTAGGGAGGAAAGCCCTACTCAGAACAAGCTTTGGATTGCCCTTCCTACTCAAGGAGCTCTCACTAACACAGACACCCTATGCATGTGAGATTCTGGATGGTGCCAGCTAGGGACAGGGTGCCGGGGGTGGGCGCAGAGCCACCACTGCCGCAAGGCCACCCCTTAATTTCAGGTGGTTTATGATCAACCACATGGCAAATTTAGACACTGAAACCAGCTCAGCCAGAACAAAGAGGATAAGACAAATGTCCCAAGTTGCAGCTGGCAGTCAGAAGCCAGAAGCCACTAAATTGCTCCCGGGGTTGCTTTTATGAACTCAACGTGAAGAGAGCCATTTGCCACGGTAGGTGCTCCACACCTGCCATTGCACATCCAGGTATGTGATTCAGGACTTCAGAAGCATCCGAGGTACCATCAGAGCACCCCACGGGAGATGAAACATCTCAGCTACAAGTCCCTTACATGAAATTCCATGTGATGAATGATAAAGAAATCTTAATTACTCAGAGAGACGCTTCTCCTGCACAGACAAAAGTGGGTACTTAGGATAATCACCATGTCAAAGTGGGTGACACCACACAGTCTCATCCGAAACAAAAACGGCCAATCATCTGATATTTGAGTTTGTGAAAGTATCACCTTGTGCATTTCGGTTTCAGTTTTACATCATGTTTCAACTTTGCAGACATGATCTGAACTCCTGTTAAGACGATAAATTCTTACGTAACGAAACAACTATTTGGGAAAGAATGGGAGCTACTGAGGCCATCTAGGCTACCCAGAGGGCACAGAACCACTCAAATAGAAGGCCTGGGAGACATGGGTGACATAAACTAGAATGAAAGGAATGCTAAATAATATCAGCAAATGTCAATGAGAAAAAGGCTGTAAGTATCCCTACACACATTAAGGTACACACACATCTGTTTTCATGTGATTAGTAGTCTCTGATTCACTTCTTTGTTCTCTATGGTGAGTCACTGAGAGAATGTGATTCCCAAGATTTTAAAATTCTGAACAAATGGAAAGAATGCAAGCAGAGGCACTCCACGAAAACGTTAAACATCGAGTTAGGGGGATATTTCTGAACAGAAACAGGAAGTCTTGGCTATAGCCGGGCCTGGTGCAAGGAGAAACTTTTCCGCCAGCCTCCCTTTCAGGAAAACTAACACTTTTCCTCCAACATTTTGTAATAATTACTTTTTAATAAAGGGCGAAGACAAACTAGTAATTTCCAGCACCAACCTTCAACTGTTAAGAGAGTTTCACAACTTCCTAAAACAGAGAGAGGCATGGGACTCATTACCTATTCACTTTGACTTCATTAATTTAATGTAAATTTCCTTCAAAATAATGAAGCTGAGGAGAAAGCTGAACAAGCCCTGATTCAGACTCGACACCCCAGAATTCCTCTAGTTCGCATTTTAAGGAACCTGCTTTAGCGAGAAGTGGGTGGCCGCATGCGATGATGCAGTTTCACAGCCAGGAGCAGCCGCGGTCCCCGCCAGGGCTGCCGCCACGGGCGCTCGAACCCAGAAGCCGCTCAACAAGTTCCCCGCCGGCTCCGGCTCCGGCTCCACACCCCAGCGCGCCAGGCTCTCCGCGGAATTTCCTCCCGCACCTCAAGGCTGCGCTTCTTTTTCACACGCGGAAACGCCTCCTCCCGCGGCTCACCCCCGCAGCCCCCCAGCGCACCCGCGACACTCCCCACAGTCCCCTCCGCCCGCTCCCCCTCGCCCCAGCTCGGCCCCCGTCCCTCCCCAACCCCGAACCGCCCGGCGCCCCGAACTCTGCGCGCCTGCGCCGCGCCCAAGGACCCCCACCCCCACCCCACGCGGGGCTCCTCCGATCCTCGGTCCTCCGCGGCGGGGAGAGGGGGCGGACGGTGCACAAAGGTCACCCCGAGCTCGCGGAAGCGACCCGCGCGGGAAACGCGCTCGCCCGCAGGGTGGGGGCGGGGTGCGAGAACCTAAGGAACCACGAGAGGCGCGGACTGGGGCCGGGAGCCTCCCCGCCACCGGGGTCCCGCAGCTCCCAGCTCCGGGACGCGCGCAGGGCTGCGGGGCTGCGGCTCCCCGTCGCTCCACCGTCCGCGCTCTCTGGGAAGGTCCTCTGGGCACCTCGGAAATGCGCGCCCGGCCGCCAGCATGGGGGCCGCGCCTCCGACTGCGCCCGGCCCCCGGTCCCTACCTCCAAGAGCAGCCCGAGCAGCAGCGCCGCCACCGTCGCCGGCTGTCGCCTCATGGCTCCTCGCGTCCTCTCCGGCGCGCCCTGACGCCGGGTCGCAGGCGCGGCTCGCGACTCGGCCCCTGCGCGGGGCGGGCAGGCGGACTGGGGCCGGGAGCCGGCGAGCGGTGAGGGCCCGGCGGGGAGCGGGCGTGAGCCCGGGCGCGCCCAGCAGCGCTCGCCGCGCTCCGCCCCTGGCCGCCGCTCGCTCCCGACACGCCCGGCCAGGCGCGCGCCCGCGGGCTCCGGGAACCGGAGGCCCGGCCTGGGGCGCGGCTGCGGGGCGCGCGCGGCCGGGGTGGGAGGAGGCGCTGCACCGCTCGCGAATGGGAGGGGGCTGCCAGGCTCTCCCTCCCCGAGGGAGGTCGCCCTGTCGCCCTTGAGCAGCCCCAGGAAGGCTTCTAAAAGAAGCAGAGTCTCCGCGGGAGGAAGCTGTTTCCCTGGGAGGTGGCCGCAGACGAACCCACTGCTCAGTCTGGCATCACGAAGCCGCTGCGCTCCTGGGTCTCCCCGCCGTTACTGCGCGCCGCGGGGGCGGTGCCCCCACACCCACGCGTGATGGGAAGGCGGCTGGGGGTGGGAAAGCCCACCGACATAGAAGGTCCCCACACCTCGCCGCTCCCTTGGTTGTGGCTATTTTTTATGCCAGTGTCCTCCTACGCTGACCCTACTTGAACTTGGCCGTAACCTCCCCCGCCTTGCAGGGCACCCTTCGGCCGCAGACGACTGTGCAGAGTTCGCGCTGTCCTCGCCTCCGCTGACCCCGCCTCCATGTCCTCGCAGACACCCTTTTTCACAGCACAGCTCAGGTACCACCTCATTCATGAGGTTATTCGGCGAACACTATCGAACTTGTAAGATGTGCCAGATCCTGAGCTGAAGGCTGAAAGGACAGGAAGACTGCTCCTGTCGCCTAGAGGGAGGGAGAGTCGCTTAAACCACCTGATGCGGAATGCTGAGTGTGGAGACCAGGCGGTAGATGCATCACAGAGGGGCATAAAGGACGTGAGCTGCGCAGCACAGGAGGCAGAAGGAGGGGGGCACACAAACAGATGTCACCCGAGGCAAGTCCCCAACGTTTTCCCAGCTTTCAAAGCCTCATTTGATTAATATAGAGCATGCACCATCTGACTATAGCAGTCAGAGCCAGAACTTGCAAGTAAGGCAGAAATGATGCTTTGGCCTTCAGTCATGCGACGCACTTGTCCGACAAGCCAGTCAGAGGTCATTGAACTCTAGTAGTTTTGATTTACTATTTACAGTGAGGATATTTTACAACTCTTTTTAGGGGAAAAGTTAACTTCTAGTCAACTAAGCTGAAAGCTTGTGGTGTGTGAGAGAGACAAATCTTGTTTCTCCAGCGGTGGCAGAAGAGATCTCATCCAGTAAAAATGCAAATGGGCCGGGAAGGGTGGCTCCTGCCTATCATCCCAGCAGTCTGGTAAGCTGAGGTGTGAGATGCTTGGGCCCAGGAGTTTGCTAACACCATCCTGGGCAATATAGCAAGACCCTGTCTCTATTAAAATGTGTGTGTGTGTGAGAGAGAGAGAGAGTGTGTGTGTGTGTGTGTGTGTGCACGCGCGCGTGAGTATAAGGCAAATGACCCCTGCTGGGGTGAGAGTCATAACCAGCTTCCTATCTGATTTATCTGCTTCATTGCCAGCATTTCCTTTCTCCTGTCCCCTGCTTTTGACTGTGTGCGTAGGTCAGTTGTGTGCATTCTCCTTTGAAGCACCTTTGCCATCCCACTGTTTCCCTCGTTAATAGGTTAAAATAGAACTTTGACACGTGTTCACAATGTATTCATGTGCAAATTGTGCTTCTATCCCATTGTGAGCAACAGACTAGTGTCTGCCATAACCTCCCTCCTGCCTCTCTCTGCCTAGAAGATGGTTTTGCTGAGTTCCACTTCCTGTAATTCATGCAAAGTTTCTTCAAAGTGTAAAATTAGAACTGTGACTCTGCTTTCCCCTCAGTCTGACACCTCTCCTGTGTGCTCTCCGGTCCTGAATGATGTGCTGGTTGCTTGCCATGGTTGGAGGATGGGGTGTGGGCTGACCAGCCAGGCTGTTTCTTTGAGCACAAATTACAAGGGCATCAGATACCACTGAGAAAGTTACAAGATAAAGAAAGCTGCATTTACTACTGTTAAAGGGAGTGTGACTTGGGGTTAGAAGAAAGTCCTTGATTTAGTTGTTTGGGGCAGGACTGGACGTGTCCTGGTCTGCTCAGCTGCCCCTGAGGAGTGAGGACCCAGAGCCTTGGGGCATGTGTGTTGCCAAGAAAACCCCCCAAAAACAAATAAGAGACTGGGCTTGACCTGTAGTTGCCCTACGAAACTATGGAGTCTACATGAATGATGAACATTTATTTATTCAATAAATATTTATCTACATCTGTTTTGGGTCCAAATCTAAATTTTGTTTAGCCCAGAATCTAAATATTTGTTTGTCCAGAATCTAAATTTTGGATATTTAGAATAGGACTCATCAGTGAACGAAACAGACAAAGCAGCAGCATAAAAGGCAGAGTGGCTGCTCTCATGTAGATTTCAATCTAGCGAGGGGTAACAGAGAATAGAATAAATAAATAAATATGTAAAGTGCCAGAAAAATAAACTGAGTGAAATATTTGGAAGGTAGGGTTAAGTGTTATTAAAAATAGGAGGGTCAGCTGGGCACGGTGGCTCACACCTGTAATCCCAGCACTTTGGGAGGCAGAGGCAGGTGGGTCCCCTGAGCTTAGGGGTTCGAGATCAGCCTGACCAAAGTGGAGATACACCGTCTCTACTAAAAATACAAAGTTAGCCGGGTATGGTGGTGCATGCCTGTAATCCCAGCTACTCAGGAGGCTGAGGCAGGAGAATGACTTGAACCCGGGAGGCAGAGGTTGTGGTGAGCTGAGATCACACCATTACACTCCAGCCTGGGTAACAAGAGCAAAACTCCATCTCATAAAAGAGGAGGGTCAGGCCAGACCCCTGTGGCAAATTGCCAGGAACAGAGACCCAAAGGTAGGAGAGGGGGCAGAACAAGACTACTAATCAAAGCTTTGAGGCAGGAAAAATGGGCCTGAGGAATTTCCTGACAGGATCATCAGGGCTGGAGTTCGGTGCTCCCCTAGCAGGGGTATGACCTATATTCAAAGAAGAACTGGACACCCAGATTTGTAGTTCATTGTAAGGATCTTGGATTTAGTTCTGAAAGAAATGGGATATCACTTGAGGATTTTGAGCTGAAAAGTAGCATAATCTGGCTTAAACCTTAAAAGCATCAGCCCCAGTGCTGTGTAGAAAACAGACTAGGGGCTGGGCATGATGGTTCACACCTGTAATCCCAGCACTTTGGGAGGCTGAGGTGGATGGATCACCAAGTCAGGAGATCAAAACCATCCTGGCCAACATGGTGAAACCCTGTCTCTACTAAAAAGACAAAAATCAGCCAGGCATGGTAGCGCACACTTGTATTCCCAGATACTCGGAAGGCTGAGGCAGGAGAATCACTTGAGCCCAGGAGGCGGAGGTTGCAGTGAGCCAAGATGGTGCCATTGCACTCCAGCCTGGTGGCAGAGCAAGACTCCATCCAAAAAAAAAAAAAAGAAAGAAACAGATTAGGGCTAGGTTGGGAGGAAGCATGGAGGGAAGGGCAGATGCTAGAAGAGCAGTGAGGAGATGGATGTGATGCTGATACCAGTGTGCTAGGGAAGTCCCCAAATGCCACTGGGATGCTGACATCAGCCAGTGTCTAGGCTCTCAACACCATTGCAAGGAGGAATTTGAGGATGAATTGAAAATAGTGAAAGTGTAGAGATTTATTGCAGAACAAAAAGCATACACTCAAGAAAGGGAATTGCTGGCATACGGAAGAGAGTTGTGCAAATGGAGTTTGGGGCTACTACTACCTTTATGGTTTCTTTAATCAAGGGGTGGAATATTCATGAAAATTCCTGGGGGAAGGTGGAGATTCCTTGGAACTGTGATGCAACCCATTTTTATACCTAATACGGGTGTTGTTGGAAATGTTATGACGTTGGTGTGTGATTTAGTATGTTAATGAGTGTATAATGAGGTCCTAGGTGAAATCTGGGTCAAACCCCGTGCAATGTTGGGTCCAGCTCGATCCACACCTTCGTTTTTTGCGGTCTTAACAACCCATAGCCTCTAGTCACATGAAACTGCTCCCTGGAATTTTTTATTCGCCTGTGATCACCCTGTATTATTCTTGTGTCAATGTGGTCCTCATCATAACCAAAAAAGAGTCAACTTCTGTAAAATATTTGAAGAGATTTATTCTGAGGTAAATACGAGTGACAAAGCCCGAGGCACAGTCTTAAGAGGTCCTGAGAACATGTGCCCAAGGTAGCCGGGTTGCACCTTGATTTTATACATTTTAGGGGGACAGAAGTTACAGGCAGACATCAATCAATACATGTAGGGTGTACATTGATTTGGTCTGGAAAGGCCACAAAAGAAATAGCACTGGAACATACATTTTCTCAGCAAGGCAATTTACTTCTATAGAAGGGTGCATCTTAAGGATGGAGCAATGCTGAGAGCACACCTGAACAAGGGAGGAGAAGGGGTTCTTATCCCTGATGCAGGTAGCCCCTACTGCTGTGTTGTTCCCCTGTTGCCTAAGCTAATTCTGATTGGCTGTTTTAAAGAGAGCAGGGGTTCCAGCCAAAGTGGTGGGGTGAGCAGTTTCAGTGGGAAAGACAGTTATGGAACAGGTGACTAAAGGTGACTCAGGTCAGAGCAGAAGACAGGAGTGACTCAGGGCAGAGCAGGTGATCAGGGAAACGGATGTGAACTACTGATTAGAGCCTCGGAAAGGTTGTTTACCGAAACTAGGGGCAAGGAGATGAGGAAGTTAAACTTTAAAATGGAGAACAGAGTACAAGGAAACTGAACATACTAATATACTGATTCTTTGAAGAGAAACTTAGAACTCACTGTATTTAACAAAAACAAGTGGAGGTGGAAACAGACTGTAGCCGACACTTGTGCCAATCAATAAGTTTTGACCAATCAAATGTAGCCAACTGTGCAAACTGTGTTCAAATAAGGAAAATTTCTGAGCTGCAACTAATCCAGCAGTTTCTGTACCTCACTTCTGTTTTCTGTAAATCACTTTAGTTTTTCTGTTCATAAATCTTCTACCATGTGGCTGTGCTGGAGTCACTGAGCCTATTCTGACTCAGAAGGCTGC